CATATTTTGGGAAAAACTCTTAAACTCCATTAACACTTGGGTTTTGGTCAGACCTTGCTAACTCCAAGGTAGCGGACCTAAAAAGTCTTGTTCGTCCTTTGTGGGTGGACATTTGCGGTGCTCAAGGCTTTCAAGTAAGAGCCCGTTTTGAGAGGGCAAAGCTCACTTCAAGGGTATGATTCGTTCTTCCTTTTCTTGTGCTTATTTATTTATGCTTTATGGTTTTATTAATTACGAGTGGTTCCTTGGGTCGGGGTTGTTTCCGCGGTGAGTCGGACTCACCAAACCCCAACAGTGTTTCATTTGAAGCTTGCCTTGAGAATATTGAGGAATGTTTGGCTTGATGTGAGAAGGTGAATTTGGTTTTGAATTGGGAGAAATTTCATCTCATGGTTGAGGAAGGCATTGTCCTTGGTCACAAAATCTCTCACAAAGGCATAAGGTGGACATGTCAAAGATTGAAGTGATTGAAAATCTTCCACCTCTGGTTAATGTGAAAGGAGTGAGATCTTTCTTAGGGCATGCCAGGTTCTATAGAGGATTTATCAAGGATTTCTCTCTTATTGCAAAACCTGTAAATGATCTTCTTTAGAAAGATGTCGTATTTGTGTTTGATGATAGATGCTTAAAAGCTTTTAACAAGTTGAAAAATGTTATGATCTCTACTCCCATTGTCCAAGCCCCAAAATGGGATTTGCCTTTTGAAATAATGTGCGATGCTAGTGACACGGCCATTTGGGGGAGTTCTAGGTCAAAGGGTGTATAAGAAGCTCCATGTCATCTACTACATGTTAAAAACCCTTAATGGAGCTCAAAGAAACTACACAACAACAAAAAAGGAATTTTTGGCAATTGTGCATGCTTTTTGAAAAGTTCCGTTTTTACTTGATGGGTTCTAAGACCATTGTCTTTACGGATCATGCGGCTCTCAAATACCTCTTTGCCAAAAAGGAATCCAAGCAAAGGTTTTTCCGTTGAGTTCACGAGCTTCAAACTTTTGATATAGAGGTTAGAGATAAAAAAATGGAGCGAAAAATGTTGTGGTAGACCATCTTTCTCGCCTTGAAGATTCCCAAACCCAAGATGATGGTTCTCCAATTGAGGATAGGATGCTTGATGACTCCTTTTGCATGTGGGGAGTTTCCGCCTTTATTCTCCAAGAATCAAAGAAAGAAGCTCAAAAGAGAGGCTAAGAACTATTTGTGGGATGATTCCATCTTGTACAAACGAGGAGTTGATGGCTTGCTAAGGCGTTGTGTTCCAAATGAGGAGGTGCCAAGTGTTTTGAAGATGTGCCACTCGGACCTTAGTGGTGGTCATATGGATGTTTCTAAAACCGCCACTAAGATTTTTCAAAGTGGTTTGTGGTGGCATCATCTCTTCAAGGATACATGGGGTTGTCAACGTACCGGGAACATCTCAAAGTGCAATGAAATGCCTCAACAACCTATCATTGAGTTGAAAGTATTTGATGTGTGGGGAATTGATTTCATGGGACCATTTCCTTCTTCTTATGGGAACAAATACATTTTTGTGGCGTTGGATTATGTGTCGAAGTGGGTTTAGGTCATTGCCTCACTAACAAATGACCAAAAGGTGGTGATGAAATTGTTCTAAAAGATCATTTTCCCAAGATTCGGTGTTCCTAAGGCGGTAATTAGTGACAATGGCTCACATTTTGTGCACAATGCTTTTCGAAAGATGTTGAAAAAGTATGGGGTTCATCAACATTTTGGCCTTCCTTATCATCCTCAAGCAAGTGGTCAAGTTGAGGTTTCAAATAGTCAAATCAAGTTAATTCTTGAGAAGACAATTGCTAGAAATAGGAAAGATTGGGCAGACAAGCTTGATGATGCCTTATGGGCATATCGAACGGCTTTTAAGACTCCTATCGGCACCACTCCATATCGTCTTGTTTATGGAAAATCTTGCCATCTTCTAGTGGAACTTGAACACCATGCTCTTTAGGCGATCAAGAAGATCAATTTTGATTTAGCAAGTGCGGGAGAGCAAAGGTGGCTAGATCTTAATGAATTAGAGGAGCTTAGACTTGATGCATATGATTGTGCTAGCTCTTACAAGGCGCATTATAAGGAATCTCCTAACAAGCTTATTGAGAAAAAGGAGTTTTGTGTGGGTGACAAGGTCCTCCTCTACAATTCCAAGATGAAGTTGTACCTCGAAAAAATCATGTCTAGATGGAGTGGTCCTTACATGGTGCAAGAAGTTTTTCCTAATGGAGTTGTGGAAATTTCTTCAATGGATTAATCATCTCCTTTCAAACTCAATGGTCATCGGATCAAGAAGTATTTGGATGGTGTTTTTGGTGGCCTTGTTCATAGAATGATTTCTTATGATCTATCTTGAGAAAGGGTGGAGAACGTCAAGCTAATGACGTTAAACAAGTGCTTCTCGAGAGGCAACCCAACTTTCTAACCTTCTTTTCATTTTTCTTTTGATTTTATGGTTTTTTCACCACATACCCTTGAGTTTTTTGTTTATTCACCATATACCCATGAAAATTTTCAAATTCACCATATACCCCTAAGTTGTTAAAGAAATTCACTACATACCCATAATAAGAATTAGATGAGTGGAATTTTATTAATTATACATCGAAACCACCTTAGATCTCTCTCTATCTTATCACAAAACCACTCATCTCCTTTATCCAACCCTCGAAACCACTCCACATTTGCAAAGCTATATCCGTATGATTGATTTTGAGGATGAGAAAAGGAAATTTAGGGTGATTTTAGGGATGGGAAAAGGGAAGTAGGTGGTTTCAGGGGTTGGGGAAATGTATTTAGAGTGGTTTCGGTTCATAATTAACTCTAATGATTGACAAAATTAACAATCATTAGTCATCAAGGGCATATGGTGTATTTTGTGAAAACTCGGGAGTATATGATGAATTAAAAAAGTTCAGGTGTATATGGTGAATAAACAAAAAACTTCGGGACATATGGTGAAAAATCCGTTGATTTTATCTTTCTTTTTTATGCTTATGGACTAACCAATTTTCTTTGTTTGTTATGATTTTAGGTATTTTTCATATGATGGAGGTTAGTTTGCCAACAATCTAGGTAACAAATTTTGAAGATGAAGTATTCTTGTGCTTATTGGAAGTTTTGAGTAAGAATTTAACTTTGGTGGGTGCAAGATAGTGGGTTCATAAATGATGGATGTTAAACCCATTGTCAAGGGGTTTAGAAATTGACTATCTATGTTCGTGTTTATCATCATCATGGGTGTTGCACCAAAATTGCAAAGGGCATAAGCAACCCAGAGTTGCGCGAGCGCGCAAGGGGGTGGTGTGGGCGCGTAGACCCATGGCGCGGGTGCACTGGTGTGTTGTGCTGCCCTCTTAAATGCACCCCTCTCTTTTCTCTCTCTCTTCTTTTATTTTTCTTTATTTTTCATTGTAGAGTTCAAGCATTTTCCCTATTTTTGCTTTTATATTTCATCATAAAATCATCATTGTTCATTTTCCTTGGTTTATAATCACTTCAAATACTTAATTTATGCTTTGTACTTGATTTTCTCTCTCCAAAAGTTGGTATTTTGGTATTATTGATTGGGGTTTTGGAACTTGCAAGTTTGGGATTGTTTGCTAATAGTTGTGCTTTCTACTCCATTTCATTTGAATTAAACACTCATTTGAGGTATGAATTGAATTCTCTATTTCATTTGTTTTTCATGATATATTTCACACCTTGTATTGTATTGTTGGATTTGAATGTTATAGTGTATCATTTAATGGTGTTTCTACTTTGCCTATTTCATGTCCCCAAATTTTGTATTTATGATGACTATTAGTGTATATGAACTTGTGATGCTATGGTTTTGCTTGATTGTATTTTTGTTACCACCATTGTTAGCTTCATCATCTTTGAAATGGTCATCGATGCTTGTAAGAATGTTGTTGCTCACTCTTTATTCTCAAATGGTTTATGAATCCTTACTAAATTTGGTTTGAATGTGCTTACATACTTGTTATTTGCCAATTTATCCTTTCTACTTCAATAATTGGTTGTAGATTCATCTATTTTAGTTATGAAACTTGTTGTGAGCTCCATATTTTTCATGCCTTTGAAATATTGTCTTGGCTTGTTTTTGTAGATGGCTCCCCTCCGACGTCCTAAACGAGCATGTGGCTCTAGTTCTTGTAAGGTGGTGCCACCCTTGCCAAATGTGAGTGAAACTTACGAAATTGAGTTTACAAAGAGCGAGCATTCGGAAAACTTTATCCATGCATAATCAAATTATTGCTACAAATTGATGTAATAATGTAAAATAAAGGTAGAGAAGATGATTATACCATACAAGAAGCAAATTTGATCAAGTTTCAAGCTCCAAAATCCACCGAAACAAAAATCCCCAAATTGCTCTTTAATGGAGGAAAGAGAAAGGAGAAAATGAAATGGAGGAAAGTAGTATGACATGTGGTTAAATTGATGAAATTTAAGTAGGAATTTGGTGTTTTTGTGAAGAATTATGAGGATTGGAGTAAACGAATTGATGTTTGGAGGGTTAGGGTTTCGTTGAGGAGAGGAGATATGGTGCGGACGAGGGTGAGGATAAGAGGGAAATGAGGGGAAGAAAGGGTAAAGAAGAAGAAATGCTCTCGGCTGAGCACCTGCGCGGCCGGGCAGTAGGGCTGCGCGCCCGGGCCATACAGATGCGCACCCGCGCCCCTGGTGTCTCTCTTCTTTGCTTGTTTCTTCTCTTGGTGCGTTCAACTATGGGCTCTATGCATCTTTATCAACACGGAATTATTGAACCCACTAAACATATCAGTTTCTAAATGCCTTGTCAATGGGTTCAATATCCCAAATAAATGAGAGCACCATAATGAACCTACCAAGCACAACTTCCCTTCACATTTAAGCACAAATTTTCAAAATCTTACCTCTTTGAGTACCTTACCCTTTTAACTCAAAATTCAATAAAATCAAGCATACTCTCATCAACTATCATGAAACTCCTTCCCATTATGCTCATGTTCGTTTGAGGGGTCCTATTCCCATGAATTCAACCTATTAATCCAAACACAAAACAAGTGAAATAAAGAAAAGCAATTTGAAAGAAAACTAAGAAAGATAGAATCAAAAGAAAAGTTTAGAATACCGGGTTTCCTCCCGGGTAGTGCTTTCTTAAGGTCCTAAGCTCGACCCTTCCTCCAAATCACAGAGGCTTAAAGGACACCACTTTGTCCAAAGCGGTAGAGGAAAAAAATTTCTTGTCAATCCTTAGTTACTTCACTTCATTGTTGGATGTATTCTCTAGTTGAAAATTCCGATTCAAGTTTGTTTTGCTTCAACTTCATTTTCTTCTTCATAAAAGCTCTCTTTTTCTTCTTTTCCTTCTTTCTCCTTGCTCCTTGTAGTGAACGGCTTCTCACCATCAACACATTTGGAGTCAACCACGTTCTCTCTCGGGTAGAGCTCAAACCATGAAGGTATATCAATTACCTCCTTATCCACAACCTTTGAGGGCTTCATGTTATCTTCAAAAACCTTCTTGCTTTCAACACTTGAAGGCACATCATCACAAACTTCAAGAACATCGTTAGTTGAAGACACAAACATGCATACATTATCATTGGAACGCGGTGAATTGATACACATAATTCCCTTTATAAAAGTCAAAGATTCATGCATCGACTTAAGCTCAAAAATATTCTTATTGTTACCAACCCGTAAAGTAATAAGGCCACCTTTCACATCAATCAAAGCTCCCAAAGTAGCTAAGAATGGTCTCCCTAAGATGATAGGTATGTTGTCATCTTCCGCTATATCATGCACGATGAAGTTAACCGGAATTATAAACTCACCTATCTTGAGGGGGACATCCTCAACCCTTCCCTTAGGAAACTTAATAGATTGGTCAGCTAATTGTAAGGTCATGTTGGTTGGAAGAAGCTCACCCAGCTTAAGCTTCCTAAAAACTGAATAAGGCATTATGCTAACACTGGCACCAAGATCACAAAGAGCATTTTGCCACAATTTTCCATTTATCTTGCAAGGGATTGAAAAATTACCCGGATCTTTCATATTTTTGGGTAAATCACTGTGAATCAAAGCACTACAACACTCCCCAACCTTTACCGAGTGAATCTCATTACACTCTCTTTTGCCACTCAAGATTTCCTTAAGGAACTTAGAATACATTGGCATTTGTGTCATAGCTTCGGTGAAAGGGATTGAAAAATGCACTTCCCTAAGCATATTAGATCAAGAAATCTCCCAAATTTTTCATCAATCATGTTTATCAAAAACTTTTTGGGATATGGAAGTTTGGGTTTGATCACATCCTCACGCAATTTTTCATCAATTTTCTCATCCTCTTTGGCTTCTTTTCTCACCTTCTTTAACACATCAAGCTCTTTCTCCTCACTTGTATCACTCACCTTCTCACTCTCCTAGATCTTCCTAGAAACTCTCTTTTCAAGCACTTTACCACTCCTTGTGGTGATAGAATACACGGTTGTAGGCGTCGTTTGAAGCGCGCCTACGTTAAAAGCATGTTGTGAATATGCTTGGCACTCATAGGAAGTGGGAATTGACATTACGATTAGGGACAACGATTAGGGACAAATAAAGTAGGGAGCCGCCAACAAGTTTTTTAAGGAACTTGTAAACCGTTCACGGGTCGTATAAAAGGAAACCACGAATAAGGGACAACGAAGGCAACAACGATTGACCCGTGAAGGTTACACCCCATTCATAATCCATGAGATTACTAACTCCATATGGTTCGGAACCACGAAAGGAGGATCGGGGATGATGGTACGAAGTGAGTCATGGAGTCACATTCGCCCGTATTGGCCTCTACTCGATTCTTATATTGAAAAGCATTCCTGTGATCTCATAGGCATATAAACAATAATTCAATTCGCTCCAAACTATTATTTAACTAAATTGGTTAAATATTAATGCACACATAATTCTAAAAATTTGGTGATCACTTCAATTAATAATAAGATTAAAAGGAACCTAAACCGGTCGTCCAAATTATCTTATTAGTCGTGATTTTCAATTACATATTCCCTTTAAACATGCAATATGGTGATCAATAAAATAAAATCAACATTAATACCAATTTAATCACAATCCCAACAACATAAAATTGTTAGAAAAATAATAATAATAATAATAATAAAAGAGCATGATCCTTACTTTGAATCTGTTTGCTTGCAACTACAAAATAATAAACGAGTTAGTAACTTCAAGGAAATAATAAAACAATAATTAAATTAAATTAAATAAAACTAAAGTTGATTTTGGGGCCAAACCCTCAAACGATTCTACCTTTCACGCCTTGGCTTAAGGACAGAACCTCGAGTAAAATATGGACTCCTTTGAGTGCTTGAAGAAGGAATTTTGAAGTAAAAAAGGGTAGGCTGGTGTTTAGGTTAATAGCATAGAAGAGAGAAAATAAGAATAATCGAATTCTGGTTGCCCCGTACATTAGAAATGAGGGGGTATTTATAGGGAAATGTGCTGAGGGAGCACACGGAACCCTAAAATTATAAAAACCCTAAAAAAGTATCCCGTGACACGGTCAGACTGTACCGTGACACGGTTAGACAGTACCTTCAGACGGTACATATTCCCGTGACACGGTACAGTTTTTGAGTGACGCGGGAAATTTTCAGAAAATGGAACGGAAAACGCGTTAAGGGTTTACGCGGAAAGGACACGGAACTTCCCGTGTCACGGCAGACCTCCCGTGTCACGGGAAGTCCCACCGTCAGACGGGAAGGGTTCCTGTGACACGGTCAGGCTATACCGTGACACGGTCAGTTCCAGTCCATTTTTCCGTCTAAATTCATTTTTAACCCTAATTTCTTTCGGCTTTTTAAGTGCCGATTGATAATTTCGGGCTTTTTTCTGACTTTTATTATTCGGGCTAAAATAAGAAAATAATAAAAATAAATAAAATATAACATTTGGGCCAAAAATAAATAATAATAAAAAAAAAGGTTTGGGCTAAAAATAAAAACTATGCTTTTACCAAACATCAAGACTAATCCATGGACCTTTCAAAGGTATGAATTTAATAAAATCCGATTTTTTAAGCACTCTCGGGATTAAATACTAAACCCGACCAATAGAGGCGGTGAAAGGTTATTTATCATCGGGTTTGGTTTTGAGGAGACATTTTTAGGTGTCTACAGAAGCCCCCACTTTGACTGAGTTTGTAGAAACATCAGTTTCGAAAACGATAGTCAAAGTAGTCGATAGGGACGGAGAATGATTTAAGATGTTCTGAGATCCTAAATCATTCTGTGCACGCCGATACCTGCAGAAAAATGTTAATTCCGCAGATAAAAGAGTAAAGGGATAGAATACGTATCTGACACCAGTGTGTCGGTGACAAACGAATTTGGCAGCTTCCTAAGCTTGAAGGAATCCACCGAGTGACATTTGGTGAAATGCTTCCTATGCTTGAGGAAAGCCGACTGAAGAGTTTGGTACCTTTCTAAGCCTGAAGAAAGCTACCATATAATACTTTCCATGCCTGAGGAAAGTCGACGAACAAATTTGGTTTCATTCTATGCTTAAATAAATCCACCGCTAATGCCTTCCATACTTGAGGAAAGCCGACAAAGGAATTTTGTGGTTTTCTATACTTGAAGAAAAATCCACTGATGATGCTTTCCATACCTGAGGAAAGCCGACTTGACGATTTTCTATACTTGAAGAAAAATCCACCGATAACGCTTTCCAAGCCTGAGGAAAGCCGACTTGGTGGTTTTCTATACTTGAAGAAAAATGCTTTCCAAACCTGAGGAAAGCCGACTTGGCGGTTTTCTATACTTGAAGAAAAATCCACCGATAACGCTTTCCAAGCCTGAGGAAAGTCGACGATTGCTGAAAATTGATAAGTGTATGGTGGTTCGATTATCCCCGAACGTAGGCCGCAGATGATTCACAATTTTAAGCCGATTATCCGACCATATTAAATGCTTAAAATGACGAAAAATAGGCTTTGACGCTTGCCAGGGGTAAAATGGTAATTTTAGTCCCCCTTAAATATCAGTTGGGATTTTCCGCGTAACTGTAGCGAAAAATAATCGCCCAATAAACTCGGAAAATCAGCGAAACTAGTCAAAAAGCCAAGAATATTCCCTGACCAAGCTCAGTTTTGCCGCGACACGTCACCAGGTTCCCGTGACACGGTCAGGGATTCCCGTCAGACGGGACTAGTATCCCGTGTCACGGGACTCCTATTTTTTTTTTTTTCTTTTCGCTGTTTGAACCAGTCAAAGCAACGGTCACTTTTCTTTTTGTCCTTTTCTGTCTTTAAATCCGCACACTTGCTTTCACACTTCACCATTTCACATTTCTTCTTCATACTTGCTTTCACACTTCACTATTTTTGCTTTTTGCTTACCAAAAATTGCCGCTCCACGCTTGAGGTTAACCGCCGGCCGTCGAAGCTCACCGTGACACGGTAACGGCGACCATGACACAGTTAGTCTACAGATCTGATTTTTTCCTTCTTTCTCTTTTTTTTTTTGTTTTGCTGCAGTTTGTTGCTGCTGCTGTCTGCCGTTGCTGTTTCTGTTTCTTTCCCGGAGCTGCCGCCCAAATCGTCGGAGCTCCGTCAGCCTTGAAGGTCGCCGTGACACGGGACTGCTTCTCCGTGTCACGGTTAGTGCTGACCGTGTCACGGCAGTCCCGCTGGTGGCTTGAAATTTTTTCGAGTTTTGGAGTTCGAATTTCATCAATTTTGCTGTAATTTCTCGATCTTCTCCTCATTTTCGACCTTCTACAAACATTCATGTAAGCTCCCTTTGATTTTTGCTTTGAATTTGCTTCACATAAACAATTTCATGACAAACCCTAAAAAATCAATTTGGGGGTTTTTGATTTTGATGCTTTATGTTGAAATTCTTGCCATGATTTTACTTGTTTATGTATACATGTGTGTTTGTGAGAAATTTGAGACAAAAATTGCATGATTTGATGGAGAATTGAGCAAATCACCATTTTTGGGGTGCTACTTTGTGAAATAATGTTCACGTTTTGAAATGGTGAAAAAAATGGTGGTGAATCTTGTGAAATGATGCGTTGATTCATATTTTGCATATGTACTATATTCTCATGGAGAACATAGTATCATGCGGCTAGGAGAAATGTAACATTAGTTTGTCATGGAGAAACTAAATACCATAATTTTACCAACTTTTAGCCTTGAGGTAAAAATTTAGCATATAATTCAATAAACAACTAAATAACTTAGGAAATGATGCCAAATATTTAGATTTTTATTTTTTTTATAAATATGCAATATAAAATGTTTAGGAAATGATGCCAAACACTTAGATTTTAATAAAATTTAGCATATAATTCAATAAACAACTAAACAGCTTAGGAAATGATGCTAAGTATTTAGATATTTATTTTTTATTATAAGTGTGCAACTTAAAAATGTTTAGGAAATGATGCCAAACATTTAGATTTTTATAATAGCATGCCTAGACGACGAGATTGCGACCTTTCTACCCGCGGCCGGCGTCGGGCTTTTCGGGAGGACACTCCCACTGTCCCTGAGGGCGTGGGCGACGACGTCTTGGAGTCCGAGCCTCGGACTTCTACGAGTAGGGGCAGGTGGGTTCCACCTCCGTGGACCCTAGACCAGTTGGTTTTCTGCCGTGAAAACCACGTCTCTCACCGTGCACTCTCCGGCATAGTCGATGGCACACTTCGCCAGCATGGTTCCGGGGCCGGTGATTTGATCCCTCAACTTCACCAGGTCATTACGAGGGATCCTGCTACGAGCGCCCTATGGGAGTCGTCTGGCTTGGTTGATTTCTATGCGGCGGTTATAGGGTTTCGCAGCCCCCGGGGTTGCGGCGCGACGGTCGTTCGCACATTGTTGGAGTATTTCTAGGATACTACCAACACGTTTCACTTTGCTTGGGGGGAGATGACGGCGACCCCCCTGGACTTCAGCATGATCAGCGGACTGCGCTTCACTGACCGGGCTAGAGGCCAGATGTCCGATCTATCTTGGACATCGGCTGAGGTAGCTGATTTGTTGGGTCCGGTTGTTCAGCACATCAGGACTCGACCGGTGTCTCGAGGTGGTCCTAGGAGTGGACGATCGGAGTCGGCTTCAGTTCTTGCTCGCGGCTTCGATATGGAGGATATGACGGCCGAGAAGCGGGTGCGGA